TAGAGGCGAGGCGGAGGAAGTGAAAATCCCATCCTCCTCCTCCTCTACCATGATTTGCTCCTTGACCTCAATATCTTCTTTTTCTCCCATTTTAAATCCTGAACAATAAAATAACTACAAAACTTACTTTCACCCAAATTTGACAAAACATGTCTACATACACCATGACAATATTTCTACACCCACGTTTTGTAATTAAATCAAAAAGTACTCATATAGTATTACAGCATTGCTGAATCGCTTAGTACAATACATAACCTCGTTCTGAATGCTGTCTTTCCACGATATATTTGAGAGTTCTTATGTCATGAATTCAATATTGTCCTCTTTTCCGCGAAAGTGGGCTCTCTTGTATTCTAAGAGTTTAATTTTGTCATCCTTTCCACCAAAGTGAGCTCTTTTGTATTCCAAGAATTCAATATTGTCATCAACCTTTACACGAAAGTGAGCTCTTTCTTTCTTGGAAATTACATTTTGGTGATTTTTCCACGAAAATGGACCCTTTGGAGTTCCAAGAATTCAATATTATCATCCTTTTCCACGAAAGTGATTGTTTCAAGGAAGTTATATTTTGACAATTGTTCTCTTTCCCCCAGTTCTTCCTGCTGGTGATGTAACGAAGGGAGGCATAGCTGCGGGAGCTGTCGTCATCGTTATCATCGTCACTGTCATTATCGTCTATCTCATCGTCAAGAAAAGGTGAGCTCGAAACTGTCTGTATTGACTTATTGCTTCTCTGGTGTAGCGGTTAGGTACCTTAACGTCGTCTGCACTAGGCTTGAGTTCGACACTGTCTCTACTGACTTGCGTCTGTGGTGTAGAGGTTAGGCACTTAGTTAACCGTCGTTTGCAGAAGACCTGAGTACAATTCCAGTGTGGGGGACAAGTTTGATCAAGTACTCAGTTTTTTCTACTGGGATTTTGTAGCCCTGTCAGCTAGGATGGGCGGTACATTTATAGAATCACTCCCAACTCAAAGGGTGTTATTTTGTAGCCTTTTCTGGGGGGTTTTTTTTAAAGGCCATGAACACGATTTTGGCATTAAAAAACATTGCAAATGGTGATTTCATGTGGTTATTTCCCCAATGACTAGTATTATGAAGCATGCATAAACAAAAAAAAAAAAAAAACTGGGC